GTTAACTCTTACACAACAACAATTAGAGGAAGGAGTAATGGAACAACGTGCAGTTAGTGCACATATTCCAACACCTAATTTACCTCCCTTCACAGAGGGGGAAGACATAACTTCATACATTATCAGGTTTGAAAATACCGCTACCCTCTGTGAATGGCCTGCTGACACCTGGGCCACCAGGTTAGGAATGTTATTTTCTGGTACAGCCTTGAATATCTATGCAACTCTGTCGCAGGATATCATATGTAATTATAACCTACTGAAGAAGGCAATCCTTAAAGCATATCAAAAAACCACTAATTCTTACAGGAAAGATTTCAGGTATGCCACCTTACAGCCTGGCCAGAACTTTCAACATTATTATTATTATAATCAAAAAGAAGCGCTAAGCCACAAGGGCTATACAGCACTGCAGGGTAGGGAAGGAAGCGAGGGTATTGGATGGCAGAAGGGAGGGGGTATGATCAGCAGGTTACAGAAAACAGCGGGGCAGGGGATAGTACGGGGGTAGAGGGTAGCAAGAGATTGAAGTAGAAAGGGCTGAAGGTATCAGAATTTGTGAAGTAAGTCAGTTGTTGTCAAAAAGTCAATGAGAGAGTCCGGATGAAAGGTGGGTCCATCAGCGAGAAGGGAAGGTAAAGAGAGAGCAGCGGAGCGAAGACGACGACAGAGGTAAATTCTGCGTGCTCGTTGATAAAGTGGGCAGTCCAACAGAATGTGGCTGACTGATAATGGAGCTTGGCAATTCTCACAGAGAAGAGCAAGACGCCTCTCCATGAGATATCCATGAGTAAGACGAGTATAGCCAATGCGAAGACGGGAGAGAGTAGTCTTCCGACCTCGACACTGGTGATAAGAAGACGGCCAGTAACCTATACATACTCGGTTTAATAGATTGAAGTTTGTTGCCGAGCATAGTAGACCAACTTTGTTGCCAACGAGTGTGAAGGTGGGAAGGTATTGCAGCAAAATAGTCCGTAAATGGAATACCTCTATAAGAAACTGGTAGGTCATGTACTGCTGACCGAGCAGCAGTGTCTGCCTGTTCATTGCCCTGTACGTCAACATGACCAGGGACCCAACAAAAAACAATATCTTTATGCTTGGTAAAGATGCGGCGTAGCCAAAGTTGGATACGGAGGACTAAGGGGTGAGGTGTATCAAATTTTTGTATAGCCTGTAAAGCACTAAGGGAGTCTGAGACAACCACAAATGATGACACAGGCATAGATGCAATACGGATAAGTGCTGTAAGGATGGCATATAATTCAGCAGTAAAAATACTAGCCGAAGATAGTAAATGCCCTTGTACGACGCTGTCCGGAAACCTGCTGCGAATCCTACCCGTCAGAAGACTTAGAGCCATCTGTGTACACAGCAATGGCATGAGAATGAGAGTGAAAGTGGTCAAGAAAAAGAGAGCGAGAAGCGACCGTAGACAGTTGGGCTTTCGAGCAAGGGAGGGAGAAAGAACAGACTCAAACAGCTGGAACTTCCCAGGGGGGTAGGGAAAAGTGAGATGCTACATGTACATAGAAAGGTGGTAGTTGAAGAGAAGACAAGAGCGAATGAAGGCGAAGAGAGAAGGGACGGAGTAAACAGGGGCGGCGAACAAATAAAGAATGTCTACTAATATCAGTGACCATTCTATAAATGGAAGGATTGCGGAGATCATGAGAGCGTACATAGTAGCGCAGGCAATGGGCATCATGGCGATCGGATAAGGATGGAACGTTCGCTCTGCATAGAGGCTCTCGACAGAGGAAGAGCGAAAAGCACCAAGGCATAAACGTAATCCTTGGTGATGAATGGGGTTAAGGCTAGAGAGAGTAGCAGGAGATGCCGCTGAATAGATCTGGTCACCATAATCAAGTTTCGATAAAATAAGGGTGGAATGTAGGCTCTGGTGGTTAACGCTCTCGCTTCACATGGTGAGGGCCTGGGTTCGATTCCCAGCCAGAATAGAAACATTGGACGTGTTTCTTTCCACCTGTTGTCTATGTTCCCCATCAGTAAAATGGGTACCTGGGTGTTAGTCGACTGGTGTGTGGTCGCATCCTGGGACACTGAACCTAAGGAGGCCTGGTCACAGACCGGGCCGCAGGGGCATTGACCCCCGAACTCTCTCCAGATAAACTCTCCAGAAGGAGGGTTCGACGATCAGCTCCCCATGAAAGATGAGCAAGGGTTTTAAGAAGATTCAGCCGGCTGTGACAAGTTGCCTTCAGAGAGGTAATGTGAGGTTTCCAGGATAACCTACGATCAAAGAGGAGGCCCAGAAACTTGACTGTATCACGTTCAGGGATACGGGAGCCATAGAGGTACAAAGGATGATCGGAGATGACAGAGCGTCTAGTGAAAGTAATTTGGTGGGTTTTAGTGCTGGAAAATTTAAACCCACGTGTGGTGGCCCAATTGGAAACACGGTCAACTGCATGTTGGAGAGAAACTGTAATGAGGTGACAGTCAGCGCCTGCACAGGCAATAGCGAAGTCATCAACATAGAGTGATGACCAAATATTTGATGGAAGACTAGAGGCCAAATCATTAATAGCAAGGAGAAAAAGTGTTGTGCTCAGAACACATCCCTGGGGGACACCTTCAGCTTGGATAAAGTCCGGGGAGAGCACATTATTAACCCGAACACGGAAATGCCTGTCAGTTAAAACGTTCTTAAGGAAGGATGGTAGATTGCCTCGAAGGCCTAAGGAGTGGGCTTGGGCTAAAATATTATTTATTTATTTATTTATTTAAAAATTTGAGCACACATACAGAGGTACAAAAAATACAGATAAGAGCAGCATGCCAAAGCCACTTATACTATGCATAGCATTACGGGCTGCCTTAAAATTAACTTAAGATTAACTAAGCAATGATGAAATCAGTGATAAAACTTTAATGTAAACAGATTACTATAAAGCACAAGTGAGTATTACAAAGACAGGTCATATGGTTGTATGCATTGTTGTACATTCAGTAGAATGGAGTATTCTGTTAGGTAGTGTATTTAAAAAATAATAAAGTTAGATTGGGTTTTAGGTTTAACATTTATGTGATATAATTGTGAGAAACATTTAAGATATACAATTTATAAGGTTCAGTTATTCAGTATTTATTTGGTTTTGGGTGAGTAAGTGATCTTTGAGAAGAGACTTGAATTTATAAACAGGTAGTGTTTCTTTTATATTTACAGGTAATGAATTCCAGATTTTAGGGTCTTTTATGTGCATTGAGTTTTTGCATAGTGTGAGATGGACACGAGGAACATCAAAGAGTGATCTGTGCCTTGTGTTATGGTCATGTGTTCTGTTGAGGTTGGCAAGGAGATGTTTGAGGGGAGGGTTAATATCAGAGTTAAGTGTTCTATGTATGTAATAGGTGCAGTAATAAGTATGGATGTTTTGTATGGTGAGTAGGTTCAGTGTATTGAATATTGGTGGTGTGCTGCCTATAGTGAGAATTTGTTATCATTCTAACTGCAGCCTTTTGTTGGGTAATTAGTGGTCTGAGATGGTTACTTGTTGTTGAGCCCCATGCACAAATTCCATAGGTGAGATAGGGGTAAATAAGAGAGTGATATAGGGCCAGGAGGGCTGACTGTGGAGCATAGTACCGTATCTTCGATAGTATGCCTACAGTCTTGGAAATTTTCTTAGAAATTTGTTGTATATGTGTATGAAATTTGAGTCTATTATCAAGGTGGATTCCTAAGAATTTTCCCTCTGTTAGCTTTGTGATAGGTGATCCGTTTATCATTATGTTAAGAGGGACATCTGTAGCTCTGTTACCAAACTGAATGAAGTAGGTTTTGTCAATGTTTAGTGTAAGTTTGTTAGTCCTCATCCAGGTAGATATTTTCTGTAATTCGGTATTTACAGTATTGGCTAGCGTGACTGGGCTCGGGTGGGAGAAGACGTATGTAGTGTCATCTGCAAATAGTGTGGGTTTGAGTAATTGCGAAGCATTTGGTAGGTCATTTATGTATAGGAGAAAGAGAAGAGGGCCAAGGACACTTCCCTGTGGGACACCAACTGTAATTGGTTGTGCAGAAGAGTTTGCCCCATTTGCATACACATATTGGCTTCTGTTGCTGAGGTATGACTTGAGGTAGTTGAGGGAGTGCCCTCTTATACCATAGTGTGACAATTTTACGTGGAGCAAGTCATGGTTAACTGTATCAAAAGCTTTACCTAAGTCAATGAAGATCAGTCAGTTTGGTAAGTGTGCACCATATAAAAAAAATTCTGCATCACACAGTGCATAACAAGAAAAAACTGCTACTCTGTTTTTGGTTTAAAACAACAGCTTTGCGGTGTATTTTCATAGGGTAGTTATGGTTGTATTCTCAATTTCTTTGTCTCATTTGATAGAATGGAAGATATATTACAGAAATAGAGATGACTGGTTTCAGGACTGAAAGTAGCTTGAAATTAAGCTCAATTTAGCGGAAGTGTTCGATTTTTGCTGATATTCCAGACCACACAAATGATGTCACTTGTCCAATATGCATCCAACTGGCCAGTCTAATATGCATTTAGGAAAGCACTGACATTATTTATACAATTATTACAATAATGACAGTAGTCTGCATAACAGTAAATCTTGTACTCAGTTGATAGAACAGAAGGAATACTAGCAGAGTTTGGTTGACTGGAACAATGGAATTGGCCAAAAATAGGGCGCAAAGTGGGCAAAATCGCCAATGCATATACATCGCTAAGATCGGTAAATTTGCGACAGATAATTCCGTAAGTTTTCCATCAAATTTCATACCCTTAACCCTTTCAGGGCCTCGACCCTGAAAGGGTTGGTATACAGTGCATGGGGAATGGAAAGTGATCAGGTTTGATCCAAAGGGAAGGGTATTTCCAATTCCTTGGAAAAAAGAGCAATTCACCAGCATACAAACATACAGCTGTTAGCTGTGTTCTCACTTAGTATATAAAAACATCATCATTTTCAGAATAATAATTTTGTCCATGGATAAGAAAATGAGTATCTGAACTTTTTAGTTTTACTGAAAGTTTGAATATAAGACACCTCAAAACTTAATACATGAAATATACTTCAAATTAGACTCGCAAGAAAGTCGCCAAGAGTCTGTTTATCTTTACTATTATGTTTCTGAACATCATTTAACAATGCATTTTTCAATCTTGAAAGTTTCTTTTGTTTCTCTCTTTTCTCTTCGATGTTAGAACTTTCCCACCCAGAACCTAGTTTTGAACCTGAGAAAGATTTTGATCCAGACTTAGACTGGCTTGAGTGTGAAGATTTTGTAGTGATCTCTGCTAATCTCCTATGTAAGATTTTGTCATCAGTGCATGAAAAATCTACACTTCTGTTTTCATTTGAATTAATTTTTAAAAATTTACCATAACGCTTCTTATTCTTAACTCTCAAATTGCTTTCCTGAGATGTAATGGTAGAAACAGGTGCAGCTTTAGGAGTTAAAGATGCATCATTTTGGATAATTGAAGATGAAAGAAGCAATCCTGCATTCACTTCTTTAACTCTCTTCTTTTTCTTTTTCTTCTTTATAACCTCAGGCTTTGCTTCATCTATGGGTTTTTCTTTTACTGGAATGGAGCACAACTCTCTCATTTTATACTTACAGATTAAGCAAGACACTTCTATACTGTTCTTTCTTAAACGGAAGGAAGAAATCTGCATCTTTTCCTTGGAGGTTAGTTTTTTTGGATGTCTTCTTTCTTTCTTAAGGAGAGTCTTCATCTTATGTGCATTCCGAGGACATCCCAAAAGTCTAGATCTACAGAAGCCAGCAATCCAGGGTGTGCTACATTTGGGACACTGTATATATCCTCCTGTCTGGCATCTTATTCCTGCAAATGCAATTTCAATATTTAGGAAATATCTAAAACCTGTACAGATCTATAAAGTTGCCATTTACAGTACTGAAATTCAAGGGTATTTTAACAATATATTCGAATTCTCAAGTAACCAGCATTTTCATGGATCTCTAAATGCACATTGACTATCAAGAAGCTATCAAGTGCATCGATTCTGTATGGCATGTTTCTTTACATCTGATGTTTTGCAGCTGATTTTACACAAAAATCCTCATTTAAAAATTGTATGAAATAGCTTTTCTAGAAAATAACTAAAGGACCTACATTTTTTTTAACACATTAGCTGTTTTCCATCAAGGCAGGGTGATCCAAAAAAGAAGAAAAGCCCAAAAAGAAAAAATTTTCATTATCATTCAACACTTTCGCCATCATTCATACATAATCACCGTCTTTACAGAGGCACTCAGATACGACAGCTTAGATGTCCCTCCAAACTGCCAATATCCCAAGCCCCTCCTCCCACTTCCAGGACTCAAGTCTGGCTAAATGGTTTCCCTGAATCCCTTCAACAGCTCGTCAGGTCCCAAAAACCATTCGTCACCATTCACTCCTACTAACACACTCATACACGCTTACTGGAAGTCCAAGCCCCTCACCCACAGAACCTCCTATACCCCCTCCCTCCAATCTTTTCGAGAACAACCCTTACCCTGCTTTCCTTCCCCTACAGATTTATACACTCTCTAAGTCATTCTTTGTTCCATTCTCTCTAAATGACCAAACCCCTTCAATAAACCCTCTTCAGCCCTTTGACTAATACTTTTAGTAACTCCACACCTCCTCCTAACTTCCACACTATGAATTCTCTGCATAATAATACTACTACTACTACTACTACTAATAATAATAATAAAAATAATAAAGTTTATTTCTTTGTAAAAGTTACAATGTGTAATTACAATTTTGATTTGTTAAGTACAAAGATAGCCACTATCATGCCAAGGCATTACGGGCAAACTAATCCTAATACATAGTAACTAATTAAAACTAGATAAGATAATAGTACATAGTAACTACAGTAGATCGTCATTTAGCACGAGTTTATTTCGCACGATTTGGGTATAGCACGATTGAAGAATTGTGGCACAATTTTATGTAACATGTTGTAAGATCAATTTAACACAGTTCAGTTTGCGGGAAGGGAAAAAAACTTCCCTTTTCCTCAAGCGGCTGCCTTGTTGTGGATCAGCGGGGGAGACCTCCCGCCGTCCCCACCCACCCCCCCAACACCACCCCACCATCTCAGCATTCGGACTTCATACGTGTCCAGTCCAACTTCTCTGCTACAAGCTTGTGATTGTGAATTGTGTTTTGATCTCTTAATTGCTATATCTTGTATCTGCCAAGCAATCATGACACCCAGTAGGCATACCAGTGTTGCTCAAAGTGGCAAGAAAAGGTGTAAGCATTGAAGTTGTAGAATTAATGAAGGAAACAAAGATATTAGACAAGACATCCTGTGGCCATAATGAAGTGTTACTTTGTACACATACAAGAGAGGTAAACATAAGTTTGTGTGACTGGCTAACTTACTGAGTGACTGACTAACTTACTGAATGACTGACTTACTGAGTGACTGACTTACTGAGTGACTGACTTACTGAGTGACTCGACTGACTTACTGAATGATTTGACTGACTTACTGAACAACTTGACTGGCATACTGAATGAGTTGACTGACTTACTGAATGGCTTGACTGACTTGATTGACTTACGGAATGACTCGACTGACTTACTAAATGACTTGACTTACTAATACTGACTGACTTACTGAATGACTTGACTGACTTACTGAACAACTTGACTGACTTACTGAATGACTCGACTGACTTACTGAATGACTCGACTGACTTACTGAATGACTTGACTGACTTACTGAATGATTTGATTTACTTACTGAATGACTTGACTGACTTACTGAATGACTTGACTGACTTGCTGAACGACTTGACTGACTTACTGAATGACTTGACTGACTTACTGAACTTGATTGACTTACTGAATGACTTGATTGACTTACTGAATCACTTGAGACTTATTAAATGACTTGACTGACTTACTGAATGACTCGACTTACTGAACGACTTGTCTGACTTACTGAATGACTTGACTGACTTGAGACTTACTGAATCACTTGACTGACTTACTGAATCACCTGAGTGACTTACTGAACAACTTGACTCACTTACTGAACAGCTTGACTGACTTACTGAATGATTTGACTGATTTACTGAATGACTTGACTGACTTACTGAATGACTTGACTGATTTACTGAATGACTTGACTGACTTACTGAATGACTTGTTTGACTGAATGACTTAAAGTTAGACACTCCAGTACAACCATCGACTTCAGTACCAGAACCTCTACCATCCACCTCAGCCCAGTAGGACCACAACATAACTCTCCACTCTCTTCACAATCATCCACAAACACCAGCACCCACAATTTAAGGTAAGAACTATTATTATTTCTGTTATATTTGTAGTCTTAAAACAACATAATACATCACAACAATGAACTACAATTACATATTCATTTTTATTTTTATAAGATGTGGAGGCCTAAAAAAAAGTTGTTTGGCTTTTTTGGGGCTCTCAGGAATGTACCCTATTTTTCCCATAAGTTCTTCAGTTCATCTAACACGGTTTTACCTAACACGATGTTTTCAGGAACGTAACTACCGTGTTAACCCTCTGAGGGTCGACAGGCCCTCTCCGAGACTCGTTCTCAGGGTCAGCCAAATTTAAAATAAAAATAATTTTTTCTTATGAAAAGATAGAGAATCTTTTCCCGATCATAATGACACCAAAAGTATGAAATTTGATGGAAAACTTACGGAATTATGCTCTCGCGAATTAGTGGTCTCGGCGATGTTTACGCATCGGCGATTTTGCCCACTTTGAGCCCCATTTTTGGCCAATTCCACTGTACTAGTCGACAAAAAACATGAATATTTCGCTAGAACTCCATTTTTTCTATCGAATAAGTGCAAGAAACCACCCATTTACCAATTTCAACTATCCAGTATAGTGGTCAGAATTTAGCAATTTTGCCAATGTCACACAAATTTCAAAAGATGCCAATTTCCGAATAGGGTCCAGAATAAACAAGAAAGACATTCCTGGCACTAAAATGACATTTCCTCTGTTCATTAGTCACGTCTCAAGGCCCCTCCTACATTCTTTTTCTTTCCACTTTGAATTTTCATTCTCACAAAAAATAGAAGATTTACTGTTATGCAGACTACTGCATTAGTGTAAAAAATGGTATAAATAATATTGGTGCACTTGCGAAAGAATATTAGACTCACCAGTTGACGTGTATTGGACGCTTGGCATGATTTGTTTACTTTTGAACTTTGGTAAATATCGAACATTTCTGCTACTTTGAGCTCAATTTCAAGGTACTTTTCATTGTAAAACCAGTCAAAATCATCTCAATTTCTGTAATACATCTTCCATTCTATACAATGAGACCAGGAAAACTAGAATACAACAATAAATACCATATGAAAATACAGTGCAAAGTCGCTGTTTTAAACCAAAAACACGGTCAAAGTTTCTTTTTTCTCATTACGCATTGTGTGCTGCAGGATTTTTTTTATACTGCGCACACTGACCACATAGACCTATTCTTTCATATGTAGGCCTACCAGCTTTCTCTTGCTAGATTTGAGGGCACTAGAATTTATGCGTACTAGTACATCAAAAACCCTGGTGCGTAAGCCGTACTAGTACGGCCGAAACCCCGAAAGAGTTAAGGACGTATACCGAGGTACCACTGTATAGGCCAGAAGACAGGGACGGGAAGAGAGGTAGTAGGAAGGAAAGAAAAGTAGTGGTAGAGGTAGCAGTAGTAGTAGAGTCAGTCAAAGACTAAGAAAGAGGAACACTGCAAGGGAGCTAGGGGCCCACAAAGGGTAGGAACAAGAACACAGAGGGTAATATTAACCCCCTGACTGTTGCAACCCCCAATCCTGAAGTGTCTCCTGGTGTTGCAAAATTTCCCAACCCAGAAAAAAAAAATTATTCTTATATGAAATGATAGAGAATCTTTTCCCGATTTTAATGACACCAAAAAACACGAAATTTGATGGAAAACTGACGGAATTACGCTCTTGCGAAATTAGCTAGCTCGGCAATATTTACAAATCGGCGAATTTTGCCCACTTTGAGCCCTATTTTCGGCTAATTCCATTGTTCCAGTCGACCAAACTCATAACTATTTTTTTATAAATCCATTTTTTCTATCGATTGAGTAAAAGAAACTGCCCATTTACCGATTTCAACTACCCAATAATGTGGTCAGAAATTTGCAATTTGGCCAATTTCACGAAAATTAAAAATATGACAATTTCAAAATAAGGTCTAGAATGAACAATGCAGACATTCCTGGCTCTAAAATATCATTTTCTTTGCTCATCAGTCATGTCTCCAGGCCGCTCTGATATTACTCTTGCTTTCTATTTTGAATTTTTATTCAAACAAAAAATAGAAGATTTACTGTTATGCAGACTACTGCAATACTGTAATAATTGTATAAATAACATCAACCCATTCATGATGACTACTGCAATACTGTAATAATTGTATAAATAACATCAACTCATTCATGACTGCATATTAGAATGGCTAGTTGGACATTTATTGGACAATGGCATCATTTGTTTACTTTTGAACATCGGCAAAAATCAAACATTTCCCCTACTTTTGAGCTCCATTTCCAGGTTCTTTTTATAGTAAAATCAATCAAAATCACCTATATTTCTATAATATGTTTTCCATTCTATCAAATGAGACCAAGAAAACGAGAATACAACCATAAATACTATACGAAAATAGACCACAAAGTCGGCATTTTAATTAAAAAAACGGTCGGAGTTTTTTTTTCTCATTATGCACTGCATGCTCCAGGATTTTTTTTATATGGTGCACACTGACCACACAGATCTATTCTCTCACATGTGGGC